GCCTACCGCCCAATTCGAGCGCGTGGCGAGATGTGCGCATAGCAATATCGATCGCCGGGCGGTCACATCTTGCCACGCGCTCGAATTGGGCGGTAGGCCGGCCTAAGACAACGAGTTTTAATAATTAATTACTCGTTAACTATTACGAAAATTGCAAAATGGTACAGGACTTTTTTGTTCATCTCGATCCGTTCTACCTTCTCAAAAATTTTGTCGGATATGGAAAGACTCACCCTGTATAGTACGTAAACCTATCATGCATATCAAACGGCGCGATTCTTTCATAATTTTCGCGTAATATTCGATTTTAAGCTGAAATGAAGTACTTGCCATATTCTGATTAAGGCTAATTATTTATAAATTAATTATAAGAGTATTATCCATATAGGATATCATTTATATAGGATAGCTTGAAGCTGACAGTATTTTTTTCTACAGTATTTTAACAAACATAAGCATTTAGAAGAGTATTTTAAGTACCGAGGTATTTACTTTATGTGTTTCTAATTTTTCTAATTGTCAAATTTCTTTGAGGCATAGGGTATTTTTATGCCTACACGGAGAGAATTGTCTTTTAAAATTTATCCTGAAAATCATGTGATTGTGGGACAATATGGCATTTTGAAGAACTTTATGGAAGTTTTATGAAATTTTACCCTACACTTTACTAGTAAAATGTATACTAATTGTAAGTATAATTACTAGTGAACTGTATGGTAAAATTTCAAAACACTTATAAAATTCTTCGAAATGTGTTGTTCCACGATCACAAAATTTTCAGGATAAGTTTTAAAAGAAAATTGTCCCCGTGTAGCGTCAAAGTATTTCGATATGTTCGTCTTGATTTCTGTTTGTACAAATAAATTTTTACTAATTGTAGAACAGTTCATTTCCAAATTTGCAACGAGAGGAAAATTTAAATGGATGAAAAATTGAATGTTGCGAATTTTTGTTTGAGTAAGCTTTGCGGCGCGGCTCGTCAACGATAATCCCACGTGTTTCCGTTGTATAAATCACGCGACTCTTGCGCCGGGATTAGAATACGCCAGCTCAAACGATGAGGGCTTTACGAGGACAAATCGCGTCTCTCCGGAAGGTCTACGCGTTGAAATACGGACAGTCTCCCGCGAGTAATCCTGTAGTTTTCCAAGATCGAGTTCGCTCGAATGCGAGCCATCTGTAGCTTTGAAAGCCGTGCATGACTCCTTCGGGAATTCTTTGAAAAGCTGACAAAGCCGTTCTACGACGCGATATCTTTTTGTATAACTATGATATCAATACTTTATGTCGACATAATAAGCCGATAAAAGTTGCTTGCATTCCCCTATTTTCTTTTATGGCATTCTTTTGTTGTACCAACTACAGTTTATTAATTGTTATGGAGCACATGTAAATCACACCGAATTTTTCATCTATTATATTTTATCAGTATTCCAACTTTCTTTATGTAATTGTTTATGCATATTAATCTATCAGAGTGCAACACTAAAATGCTTTTTATCCTCTCCATTTATCAATTTTATATATAAATGTATTACAAAATATTCATATAATTGCGTTCTTACAACGCTAATTAAGTAATCTAGCGAAACGATCTTTTAATCATATAGGGTGAATCAACTAATTATGCAAAACGGCAAGAGAACAGCTACCGCGGTCACGATCGTCATCTGTCGCATGACAAAAGTTTTTGCGGACCTCGTCGAGTTGTTCGGGCACGTTTATCGCAAAGGAGATCGAGGCGCTGCTCCATTCTGTACGAGCAATATCCTTTCGCGCGGCGCCCAAGAACGCGTCGTTCACTCGAGCGACATTGAGATCACTCGATAACCTCTCGTTTCCCGAGTATCGTCCCCGCAGGATTTCCTCGAGACATTCCGTTTTTTTTTACGCGGATCACAAAATCCCACGCGTGTACTTACACGCGCACCTTTATGTATCTACTGAAACTTTTCTAATAATTCAACAATTTCCAGATAATAAATGATGGAGTGCACGATATAAAAAATGAATTTGAAAAGCAAGAAGCAAAGTAAAGAAATGAAAAAAAGAGCACGGGTCGAGAAATGTACAAGTTCTGAGATATTCATAACAGAATACTCTTGCAAAGTTATTTGCATATTTTTTCTTCCGAAAATGCGAATTATATGTTAATTGACATTGTCCTGGCCGCACTTGATGAACAACGCCTGAAAGATTAAATAAAAAAGATGACAGAGAAAATTATTAAATATTTAAATATATTGGAATACGTTTGTAACTTAAATGACGTGGATTTCGATGGTAAACGAGTCATTATTCACGACAGACATCGGTAGATTTACTTGTTAGATAAACGTTAGTTATTTCTTTCTCGGTACTTGATTTAAGCTTATATATTTATGTGATAAGATACGAACAGATGTAATTAGAATCGTAATTAATACAGATTCAAATTAATGTGAAATATATACGACGTAATTCCAGCGGAAGTTCGTAGAGCCCTGGACGAAATACAGGTATGAAATAGTTCAACACCGAGAAACAACGGAAAGGGCGCGCCGCTTGCTTCCTCGTCTCGGCTTAATTCGGGTTAACCAGCAACTTCGTACATAGATTAAGCAATACATGGCAGAGCCAAACTTGGGTCAGCGACGGTAACACGTCGAGAAATACAGCTTCGTTGCGTCCTGTCTCGGCGCAAAAGCGGCATTATATGCAAAGTGGATTAATTAATTAGCTAGCCGTAGCGCGAAATTATTATCCGCCAGGAATTAGAATTTAATGAAAAATACGTTAGAGAAGTTTTTATGCGAGAAGATATTTACGTTACGTCGCGCCGTTAGGAAAGTGCGAGATGCTGAAAGCCTACTATAATATATTGCTTACTTTCTGATGCAACGCGATACTTTACGTGCAGCGAGATGATTAATTATTTTGCTTTTATATTTGAAGAAAGTACGATCACATGATAATTCTATCACAATTGGTTAAAATCGATAAACTGACAGATATGTCCCCTCTGTAATTAATATGCTCCCGCTGTAGATAGATACGACATCGGCAAAGCAATATAACTCTTCTTTAATTATTTCTTCCGTACGTCATTCTAACAAAAGCGCGTTTATCCATGCCTCACCTTGCATGGCTCAAATCAAGCTTTCCAGCAATGCGACGTGCCCTAATTAATGTGCCCCACTTGAATTGGTGGCATCTTCAGCTTCGCAGCTCCTTGCCCTTTTTCATAAGATGGATGGAACCAGAAGGATCGCGCACGTCGCAGTTTTTCTTATTACATTCACCTATCCAATCCAATTATTCTTTCCGTTCTTCAGCGTTGCTCTATTCATTGTCAGTTCCACGTGGATCTTCTTTTCGCACCTGTGCACATTAATAGATACAATATGAGGACATACGCTTATAATATACAGGGTTTTTCAGACCTGACCCACTGTCCGTCAATGGCACAGTCTTGACATCATTTCGAGATGCAAATTTTGATACCATAATATATGTATACCGAGACCGTAAAGCTTTTAAATGAGACGTATTCAAAGTTGACAAATTAAGTTATCCGAAATTCGCGCGCTCAGGCATGTCACATTGCATAGCGGCAAAGGTGTTTTTAAACGCATCAATTTAGACAATACGCATGCAAAATTATATCGATTTCGTTATATGTGTATAAAAAATATATACATGTACATGTACACATGTATATATTTTTTTTTATTTAGCTTTCTATCCTTTGTTTTCCCTTATTCTTGCCTCGATCTTTCTTAGTTCATTGAACATCTGTGTTGTTTTTAACTTTAGCTCAGTCTTTTTATTATTCCCTCTAGTTCACTTGTTCCTTTCGTTATCTGAACCTTTCACAGCTCAACGAGTAACTTCATTAACATCATTGCGCATGAATGAATCTACAGCATGGCTCTTCTCTTGAGCGTTTTACAGCTGAAAAGCCATGAAATCGTGGAAGCCTCCTCGCCTAAAAGCCCCGTCTGTTATTGTTTTTCCAGGACCGCGAATTCGTGGAGATGGATGTGCCGTACAACGGCGCCCCGAAGAGGCCGGGCTCGCCATCGCCCCTGACCTCCCCCGCGCACAGCACTGCCTCCAGGGGCGGCCTGCTGCAGTCCTGCTGCGGGCGCTGCTACCCCCAACGTTACCAGGTACGCGGTCGACGTATACTCGCCTCGATTACCTCCATAAACGATACCGCGCCCTCGTCCTCCTCCCATTCTCACCAATCGCAACCCGGTCGGTCGCACTATCAGCCGGCTCCGGTCGATCCGACGACCGTGCCGAACGTCGTGTTCAACGTGCCAGGCGATGCCGATCGGCAGCGTCGTCAGGACGCGAGCTCGTCCAGCCCGTACAACGAGACGAGGGTGTGAGCCGGGGTAAGGACTGTTGACGCGATCTTAATCACCCGGCGACGGAATCGATTTCTCGAAATCGATCGCCGAGTACGAAACGCATCGCAGTGCGACACCCGGTCACCCTCACCGAATTCTCGACTGTCGATTGGAATTCTTGTTCCTCGAAGGTGCTGACGATTCCGGTCAAGTTGTCATATGTCGATACTAATCCGGCGAGTTTCTCGATGGATTTGAGGAAACGATCGTGATGTCGCGACGTGACGTTCGCGGTGCATATTCCAGCCTCGTTGAAATTAATCGCTTCAGGTGCGACGAAAGTATTACTCCTAAGCTCTTCGGCTCTACAAGACGAATCGAACCTTCTCGCGCGGCGCGAGAGTGAATTAAATCGGCACGAGAACGCCGCCCACACGAGGCTGACTCGTACCGATTGTAGTCACATCGCGAGTAAGGGATCTTAATTAAACGAACGTCTCGAGGAGCGCTTAACTCGGATACGAGGCTTTTAATCGTCGCTACTAATGGAAATCAGCTGTTCCCAATTGAACGAACAGCTTAACGGTCGCAGCCAGTTGTTTCTCCTTATTCTTGATCCCTCAGGGTCGCTCTAATCGCTTTCAGTCAAAATTTACGATTAACTAGGGCCTCTCACGACAAAGACTAACTGCAATGCGTATCGCGAACGGAGACTAACACAGAGCGCCGCATGTACTCTGTCTTTCTTTGCAGGGCACCGTAACTACTCTATCTTCGTTGCTGTTGTCGTTGGTACAACGTGTAGTTTCTCTTCCGGCGAGGATGTTAATTGCCCTTTCGGTACCATTTGTTCTTCAGTGCGGTTAACTTTTCCGAAGATTAAATCGTAGATCTAAAAAGATTAATGAAATTGATGTGTCTCTTCGCTTAGCGGAGATCGAACCTTTTGATTTACAAGATGAAGGCAAAGACGAAACAAAATTTCATTAAAGGCAAGAACGGATTGAATTACATCCAACTTGCTCGTAGTCTGTGATAGCTGCGCTAAGTGATGAAATTATAGCCTGTGTCCCCATTCAGAAATTCATCAAGTTACGTCGTCTTATTTTTTGTCAAATCAAGATGTATTGTACAATATTATATTATGTTTTATTTTTAACTAGAGATCAATACTATTGTGTTTTTATCTTTTTATACTTTTTTTTAAAAGCTCTTTAAGAGCTTTAATTTTCTTAAATAACATTAAGTTTGATATGTGAATTTTACATTATTATTTGTGTAATGTTTTTCATATAATAATAATAAAAAAAGAATCGTTTCTTTCAAAAAAGTAAAAGGTCCAAATTCGAAGAAAGATGGCGTAATATACAGGGGAAGTTAAAGGCTAGATTGGATACTATCGGGAAATTTAATCCACCTTGTTTGCTCCTAACATAATAGATTATTGCGAAAGTCGGGAAAGTTAAGTTATTAGTTATTCTAGAGATATTCTCCGATTGTCGAAGAAGATTCATAGATTTGATCCGCGTTTGATCTGCTCTATCCAACACTGCCGTTGAAGGTACGAATTTTGAATTGATACTCTTAAGCAGGCATTGGATCACGTGCTATTCGCGATTCGCAATTCGTAGTAATTAGTCGAAAGTGCATTATTCGTCAGTGCGGACCGCTTTGCGATTTATACGAATCGAATGTAAACTAATTTGTGGCGATTTGTATATCCCGTGTTAAAAAAACCGCTCCGATGGCGAATCAGCGTGCACGACGAATGACGAATGCGAATTTGATGCATTTCTCTATTTGCGAACCGCACGCGAATCGCGAATCGCGAATACGCTCATCGTATGACTTCGGCTTCAGGAATTAGGCGATAATCTCGATTCTAATCTCCGTGAGGGCGCGGCAATTAATAGGATCGCCGACGTCTCGCTCGCTTGGTTTCCAGAGATTTATCGTTGAAAATGTCCAGATTGGCAGACCAATGAGGTGTCCAACATGCGAGCATTCCGTTCCGCTACGTTTCTATTGATTAATCTCTAGGATTGCTCAGGTACACGTTGACCAAAGAATCTTACCGCGCACATTAACTGTGACAAACTTATAGTATTTTGTCGTAGATAACTAGGCATCCCCGCAAAGGCATTATCTCATAATAATTGCTATCTCTTCAGCAAATTCTAAATTGATGCCATAATTATAAAAATAGAGTAATGGCAAACGCGCTGAACTTTTTGTTCTCTTCGTGATTATTCTTTTATTTCTTCATGTTATTTATATCAATTGGGCTGTGATATTTTTTCAAAACTTGGAGAAATCAATTAAATTGCAATAGCTTTGTACGTCGACATTTTTCGATAATATTTATTTTGCTTATATCGTAATTTTTCTTTTTTTTCATAATTGTTTTAACATATTCCTCTTTATATAACTTTGGAAGATAATTTGTTCAATTTATATTATCTAAACAATATTTGTTTTACTCTTTTTGACTCATGCCGAATATAATATGCAGAGAAATTTGCGTCCAAGGAAATTGTCACGGTTAGATCCGTCATATTGGAAACGCAATTACGTGTTCCGGCTACGCGGGTTTTAATTTTCTCGGGTATATTTTTGTTTTCATTCTCGACGAGAGAGAGTTTCGGGATTCTTAAGTTTTGATCGTCTCTTGGTGAGAGGAATAAAACGGCCGCGTGTCTGTCTCCCTTTATTATTTTCTCGATTTTTTCCTGACGTTATCTGTTTTCATTTCATCACTCTGATTATGAGGGGTAGCTTCGATTGCCGCGCGAAGAAAATTAAGTCGTCTCACTGGATCATTTTTGTACTCGAGAGAAAAATCTCAGAATCGCGTGCGCTTTTCTCGAACATTTTCTTTCGAGGATTGCGGAAAACTATAACAATTACTTTAATTACATCGTCTCGTTATCCGTAGCAAAATTATTGTGCAACATCATATATAAAACAGTAATATCGATTGGTAATATTTATAAATGGAATATAATTAATTCTCATATTTCTAGTAATATATCATATCGTTGATTGGTATTTATATCATTGAATTGTAGAATTACATTGGATATTTTATTGTTAAATTATTGACACGTCTCTCGATAGCATAAATGAGATTTTCGAAGGATTGAACATATCTTTCGATATCCGAGAAAAAACTTTCGCTTTCCTTGCATCGAAAATCAAAGTCGAGACAAATTTCAAATTCGCTTCATTCGATGCGTATCGATAGTAACGGTCGACAGCTCGACATAAATCTACATTCAAATCGACCTTCGCGAGGCCGGTATTAACGAGGGAAAATGAAAAGTGATGAACAGTCTGTTCGACCGATAGATTGGGGACGAAACATCGTCAAAATCCCATTAAAATTTCCTCTTTTGTTGTCTGGGCTTTTATTTTTTTACGACTATACACACGATGCTGTTTTAATCCTTTCCTTCCTATCTTTTTAATTGTTGGTTAATCCACGCTGTAATCTACGACTAAGTTTCAAAGTCTCATTTACGCTCGTGAAATACCGACGGCCATTCTGAATGGGAACAATTTCGGCAATGAGGCTACTTATAATTTCGCCATACTTGATTTCAAGAATTATTCGACCTAATTTTAATTACATTAGTGTGACTTAATTTAGGTTAAATTAGCTTTACCTATTTAAGTTTTCATTTTGTAGAATTCATTTCCATCTTTTAAAACAGTTTGGCAATTTTTATATTTAAAGAAATGCGTTGTTTAAAATGTGTAGCGTTACTTATAAAAACAGAAACCATTCTGCCATATTTCAGTTGTTCCACCGCAAATTTTCTTTATTGTGCTTTATGCTGTTTCTCTTTCTTCTCCCTTTTCTTCTTGAAATCATTACTCTTTTCATATTATAGATCTAACGGGGATTATTCTCGATCTGTGTATGTGAAGTGTCTTCCATTGAAATCGTCGAAATTTTATGGAAGCATTGGACCACTTTGGTGGAGTACATTTCTGTTTTTCTCACATTGTAGATCCACGAAGGATCTCAATTCATAGGATGCCTTTGCCTTGCACTGATGTAGAATTTAAGAGCGAATCGTTCTCTTTCTCTCGACTATATTGCAAGTCAATGACACGCGACCCGTATTATATAATTTCGACAAAAAGATTTGAACACTTTTAATTTTAATTTTATTTTAAGTAAATTTCTATTGAATTTATACTATTATAAAAATTATAAATACTGTTGACCTTGTATTTTATTTATATTTAAATTGCACTTTCATTTAAGATGCAGCAACAATAGAATAGAATTCAAATCTTAAACTTTTATTTGTCTCTGTTTTTAAGTCAATATTTTGCCAATTTTATGTATATACGTGTAAGCGTACAATCGTTAATTATAAATTATTAATAATTGTAATTAAATTCCGAGCAAATGAAGAAATGAACGAGAAAGAAGCTAGAATTAGGAGGGTTGCGCGTCATTGTGCTTACAATTAGATCCATAGGGTATCCAAATCCGATAGAATCGACCCGTCTTCCAGCGAAACTGTCGACTCCAATCTTTCGCGGAGCCTGTCTCTCCGCAGCCCCGTGTCCCATGTCTTCCATTTTTAGATTAACTTGACATATATCGTCGCATCGAGTCCCTGCCCCGAGCTCGCGCCCGTCCCGTTCTCGTCTGATAATCGCTCGTATTAATAACCCGTAACTCGATCTATATAATCTCTGTTCCATTAAAATCTACCGAATTCCGCCTGTCGCGAGTACGCCGCGCCGAAAGTTCAACCGCAAAACCCGATCCGGTGCGGCCGATTCACGAACGAGCAGCCAATCGATATGCTGAGACAAATCTAGCTCGTATTTTATTATTCATAGAAACCATAATTGCTATTTTTGCGAGCACGCTGGTGTAACGTATTTCAGTTTGATCGAAACGCGAAGCAAATTCGCTATATGCTGTAAATCGATTATATTTAATTATTAATTAAAACGTAAATAAGAAGGAATTGCGCGCATGGTTAGAATCTTTAAATTCGCAATTAAATCGGTATTCACGAAAATTTCGATAATTTTCTAGAAAATTTGCATATTGATCTACATTGACTTTAACATTAGAAATACTATATCTTGCAGTCGTGTTAAGGTAAATCGTAATGAGAAATTTATTGGCTTGGAGACAATTACTATTAAGATCATTGCATTCGAATAGTTTTCGCGGTGTAGACGACTTATATTTAAATCTTAAGATAAGAATTCCATTAACAGTTTCGCATTTCGATCTAAAATCTACGTGACGCTGGTGATCGCTGTTAAGGCTGGAAATCTCTCGCGAATCGGTGATGTGATGAGCAATATCTCAGCAATGACTGCATCATTGCCGAGATAAACAGCTTATTCCGGAAAGTGGCGGAAAATCGCGTAAAGAATTCCGAAACTTTTTCTTACCAACGTGGCAATATTCGTCACGAACAAAGGAACCAAGTTCCGAGATTAAAACCCCCCAGAGGCGAAAAGGTTGATCGACAGATGTGAGACTTTTTTGCCCTAAACTAGCTTTAAGATGAACGAACTCTTCCTTTGTTGGTAGGCTCGACGATAACGAAGAGGCGTTCGAATTATTACGATTAATTATCGACCGATAGCGATAATGCAACCGGTGACAATGTAGGAGCTCGCACGGTGCGCGAGATGTACATATATATAATTAATAGATAATAGATTATTATCTATTAATGCAAGTCGTGTTATTGACTCGTCGGAAACTGGCTTGCGTTGAAGATCAAACGTAAAAGTTTTGATTTCAATCTTCTACTTTTGTGCGACTTTAATTCCTCTCTCAATTCTCCCTATGCAGCGGGCAAATAGCAATTTGCAAGTTCGCAGTTGCAATATTATCCAATCGGAGTAACTTTTTCTTCTGTCCTATTTTTTACGATTGTATCATATTCCATAGCATAAATTACAAAGTGTTTTTGCCAACTGTGGTGACAATCTCGATGGTAACATCGCTTTGCTTTCTTTTTACACGAAATTTCAACAGATTGTTAAAACGAATGCGGGTGCAATTAGAATTCTAAGCATTTTATTACTTGTTCAAGCCTGATCATATGGATTGTTATTGTCTCGTTGTAAGGAATTTAATTGCGATGTTATCGATTGATCGGACATCACATAGGTGTCCTTTGATTTCGAATAGATTTCCGATCGTTTCCCAATTTAGGTGACGCACGTCAGTCTGATATGGTTTTCCCATTGTGATCGGTTCACGGGGAAATACGGTCGCGCGTCCTTTATTTATTTATTTTATTTTACGTGGAGATCCGTGTCGACGTCATTCATTCGTCATGCAATCGATTCTACGTGGCGATTAAGGGTTGATCGCAAACCAGCGTGTGATTGTCAGAGAAGAATAAAAAATGAGACGCATCGCGATTTTTTGAAAGGTACATAAAAACATCTCTCCCGATTCGAGTAATTTATCGTTAAATTAGTATTTCCATTTTATAAAACTTTTCTTATTCAAATCTCGCACTTTGAGAATTACATCTTCTGATATCTGCGAGATTTTGCATCACGTTAAACTTGACCTGCGAGATCGCTGTATACATAACATTCACGCGCTGTCGAAGTTTTTGATCGGCCCTTGTTACATTTTAGTTACAAAATACTTGCCACATTCCAGACACGGTCTGTTACTTTCGATGTGATTATTTTTTTCCCCACGTATCGCGGCCTAAGCGTGACATGATGAAATCAAATCAACAGAATCAAGAAAATAAAGAAACTGAGATTTTTTAACAAACTCCTTCATTCCTCACACGACTCTTTTTTTAGGCAGATATAAATATCACATTCTTTATCTAAAGACTATAAATTAGGGCCAGCACGAACATGAAAGTGTTTAATGCAGCATTGAGAAATGTTTTATCCCAGTTTTGCTCGAATAAAGTGCAGCGTGAAAGAGAGTGGTGACTCGCTCTCTTTCGTTTATTTTTAAATATACGCACGTTCGTAATGTGTGCCGATTATGTTAATACATAAAACAAAATATTGGATATGATATTTATATTTGCACGAGTTTTTTTTTATACAACATATAAAAATTATCATGTATTAAAAATATTTTCGCGTGCAATTTGTAATCATTTGACAACGCTACTTAGATATCAAAGAAAGAGATTGGTAATATTATTTATTATCAATATTTGACAATTGATAGATGCTAATTTTATTTCTTCCTCCAACTCAAGCAAACCTTGAATAACAAACCCTTTCGCTAATATCACGTCGTATAGTGCGGTGAAAGGGATAATATACATATAAAAGTTAGTTATTGAGTTGAGAAAGGGACAGGAATCGATAGCGTCAATTATGACGGGCAATTATCAGTGTGAAAAAAATGGTGGAAAATGCTAGTCGGGCAGCGAGCCAAAAATAAACGTTTGACAAGAAAATCGCTGTCCGTATACGCGAGTTTGCACGAGTTTTTACAAGTCGTTGTATATAACCGCGTGTGGTCATCCTTGCACAATTATCGACTTCAAGTTGATACAACAGCCCTGACCTTAGGGTTACACCACGTGATGTACTTGTAGCGCGTAGGATAGAGAAAGTAGGTTCGATCGTCCCTCTATACCTTTCCGTAAAGCGGCATTCACATCGCAACTATTATCAAGATAACACGAAAAAAAATGTAGCTGCCTTTCAGTTGTAAAGTGTGGACGGTCAATATTTAGTTATGGCGGCTAGTATTTTGCTAATGTGCCTATTGCATTAGGTGCGACAGCAAACCGTTTGCTGTGGCTTAAAAATTTATGGTTATGACAGCAAAAATCTTTGGCAAATCGTGATTGGCTACGGCAGCGAACGAAAAATTTTTTTCAATAAATATAAAAATGGGAACATTAATCTACATATAGATATGTCCCTTGAAAAATCAATCTTTCGTGCAAATAAATCTACCTTGTTTTACGATTCAAGTTTATTAAACGAAGCAACAAATTGATGCACATTGAAATTAAGAATTTGCATATTAACAGATGCTAAATCGTTTGCTGAACGTACGTCAAAATTGAAGTTCGACTAATTAACTCGGGTAACTAGGTTGGATTTTTATTACGCGCATTTCGGAATTCACGCTCCTTCCGTTATGTACGAGTTTATTTGTCGTGTCTTGCAAAGGTAATTTTCCCTGTCAGGACAAAGGGCAAGGGATCAAGTTTTAATCGGAAGGATGCGGCGTCGATTTAGGAAATAAGACGCACCTAAACGCGTACATTTTGCACAAAAGTATCATTCTCCCGCGGTCATGCCTTTATTATAGAAATATATTTATAGTCTCGAATGCGTCACGCGATGCGCGGCGTGTATAATTAGCGATTGAATTTATATGCAGGAGCGACGAAGTATGCATACCGAGGGGCACGCGAGGCCCAACGAAACAACGCTCGTCTTAATTCATTGACAAAATCATTGTCGCGGCACGATGTACGATAATTTTCTCTCTCTTCTTCTTTTTTTTCCATCGTTCTACGCCAGTATTACATTACGCTACGCGCCCGCATAAACGGGCACGCGATTCTCGGTTTTCAGTGGCAATACGGCCCAAACAGGATCGAGCAATTGGAACGTTGGCGAGCAACACATTTGGAGCGTTGAACGGATTTATCCGCTCTCGATAACCTCGGCGAGATTAATACGATCGCGATTATTTATACAGTCCGCAATCGCAGGCTGCATACAAGTCGCGTGCGGCTTGCATATCTGTACGCGGCATGCAGTTTGTACACGTTGAATGGCAAGTGGCATAGCCACGTTGCAAAACGATGATCGATCGGTTGGTACAACCCGCACGTGACCGCCTATACAGTGGGGATACATTACGAATGCACGTCGTGTCAGAAACGCACGTGTACACAAGTCTGATCGACAAATTAATTTTAATCGCAGTAATGTCAGCGATAACAATTCAATATTGCGGCGACTAGACGCGATGTTAAGGAAATTGCTTCACGAGTGATAGCGTAGGCGGACAGAGAATAGTTCAATTAATTAATATTGCGTTCTAATTTGGAATGCAAACATTAGTCTGTTAATTTCCCTCTTCCTGCCAGATGTTCATTTAACACAGATGCGACTTCTTTTATTGACGCGCGAGTAAATGTGTAAAAAGTTTTGGAGATTTATCTCCCTAATTTTACATACATTCTTTTAACAAGTATGAATACAAATGGCGTATTGTAATGGCGAGTTTAATTTGTAAAATAGAAAGCTCAAAATGAAAAGAAATCTTTTAAAGAATATTCTAATACTATAAGGAGTATAAGATATAGGTACTGATCAAAGGGTAACTAGAGTAAAGATTAAATCAGCAGGGAAGATCGAAATTAGATTCTCTGGCCGAAGGTTTCCATCGCTTCTTTTAGTGGTCCGATATTAATTAAATAGCAGGATGTTCGCCGCCCCGTCGAGTACCGTCAATTTAATTGCTCGTGAAAAGTCCAAGGGATTCTGGAGGCAGCTTCCGGTCATGCGAGCGCGGCACGTGAATAATTCATCCGTTAGAATCGGCCGGGTGGTATCCGTTTTCTTTCGTTCGAACTGTCCGCGCGGTAGCGTTTCAATTAGGGCGAAGCGCTTCGATCAACCGTCCTCCGCTAGTTACGAAAAACTCTCATTGATCTTCTGTATACATTCGAGGGTGAAAAGAGCGAGATGAAAGGAACGGCCGGATAAGGGATACACAAAGAGAACGACAGACGGCCTGGCTAATTCGCGAACTCATTAAGCCCCGTTTTACTTGCCCCTCTCTAATACCAGCCGTTCCATCTTCGCTGGTTTTTTGTTCTGATCAATGAGCCCCCGAAGAAATCCGTCGCTCACAAAATCGTCCGATTAAAATCGACACTTGGCATATTTTCGTCCTTGCATCTTTTTGAAAGCTGTTGAAATATCAGTGTTATGTTTTAAGTTTTGGTGCATTGATCGACGCAAAAGACGTACGTGTATAAAAGGAAAAGAAGCAACACAGGACCAAATAATTTGTTAAATATTGCGATTTTCAATCCACCAAGCTGAAAATCTAAATTTGAGATTGTATACGATATCACAATGTGAATATGATGAATCATGCACAGACTAATAATTTTCTTTAAATAATTAAAAGATTTTCTAGAACACACGAACAATAGAAGGGGCTCAGAACCAAAACAGGGTTATAGTGTCCAAAAAATTTTTTTGTCTTGGCTCTGAACCCCTTCTATTGTTTGATTTTCATCATACGAGCCATTGTTGTTTATTTTCTAGAGCAATTTATATAAATATGTAAATTTTGTATTGAAATTCTTATCGGTCTGTGTCAATAATATTTCTTTACAGTAGAATTAGAATATTTGGGTATTCGTACACGCGTGTTTTAAAGCATTAATATGAACTTCTATTATTTCCACGTATTTCATGATTGTCGATTAATCAAGGCGGACAGCAATCAAGTTGATAATTAACCGCATCCGAGTCTATTAACTGTAACAATGAGCAGCCGCATTATGTCTTGGCTGTCCGCTATGAGCAATGCTCCGTTCCGCGACGTAAAATATCGATTCTGTAATTCCGACCTGTGCCATTTACATTGAGCTTTATGTGATTACGGGTAATAACAAATGGCTACTAACGAAATGCATTATATGTATATTACTTCGGCTTACACGAAACGTTGATTTTCAGACATGTACATAGGTCGATTCGAGAATAAAAAATCATAATTTTAACTTAATTAATCAGTGCATAATAATAAACAACATTTTGATAGCATTTTAACATTTAATTATTAAAACAACAAGTTGTTGAAACTGTGTTGTTTAAAAAAGATGATAAATACTGGGAGAAGTTATTTTATTATTAAAATCATTAAAATAGTTCTGTTGATTTTGAAGCATCAAACATTTTATTGTATAAAATGCATAAAAAATTCAATTGCTGTTTAACAGTTTTCGAGAACTCACAGCAACGATTAGTAAAGTTCTTTATCGCTCAAAAAGTACTGTTATTTTTATATCGTTCTTTTCTCGTCCTGTTTTTAGAATTGCTATCTTTTCTGAAAATTTCGGCGTATCTTGAAACCCTGGGCCTCTATTTCTGTATCTTTCAATTATCTTCTTTCAAAAGCTAAGGCTGGCTAGTTGTTCGAAAAGACACAGGCATTGCCAATGTAATGAATATTGGAAGAGAATTGCATAGCATATACTCCAGATTTAAGTACACGTCATCCGCAATACATGTTAACTTTAAATAGAGCCATCTTATTATGCAGCTAGTGCTTAAGAGAACAAGTCTTTTGACGTAAAAAGTTCAAGTTATTCTACATCTTTTATGAATGTCGCTGTTTAAAACACCAGAAGCGTTATGATGAATTTAAACTCAGTAGGCGTCACTCAGCATGTGAGTATACATAACGAAGGAGTGTAAGATCCGAAAGACGCGGCCTCGTGTCTTTACACGAGTACTTTGCAACGCAAATTGGCCTTACACGTGCGACATAAAGCACAAGCATGTAGAAAGTTGCGTGTGAGTCCATAAATCATTGAGTCATATACAATGTCGATATGCTATTACAATCTTAATTCGAAAAAGATGTTGCTGATACAGTTAATAATTTTCAAGCTATTTTGGGGAATTATATTTGTGCAATGTTAGGATAGAAGATTTGAGAATGTAGTGTGAACTTTATTTAATTATTCTTTCTTTTTAGGTAGTAATATTGTAAATAGAACGAAATAGAATATATTAGAAACTCATAACTTCCTAAGTGCCACGAATATCACGTTTAAAAGTACAATTTTATAATTTTTAAAATTTTTCACGTACTCTTATGTGATCGATGCAGAGATTTGGATTTCTTTGCTATATAAATTAAGAGAAATCTTTTACATGAAAACTGTGATATTTTGTGGTACTCCAAGGCGTAAATAGAGATCATGGAGACATTATAACGCTCTTAATACTATTAAGAACGTTGATTAATTATGTATTTTTTCAATTTTTTAATTAAAATGGTTTCATATTATTAATTAACTTGGATATTTTATACTACGATG